ATAAAGGGGTTTTCATTATTCATATACATACACACATATATATATATATATATACATACATACATACACGCACACATTTAGATTCAATACGAATAAAAGTGACAAAAGTCTGTAAAACATCTACTTCACAAATGTTAAGCTCACGCTGCCTTTGAATCCTTTTTGGACGATAAAACTTGATGCCAGTTTGTTCTAAAATTTTATTTCGTTAATATAAGCCTAATTACACGAGTTTTTATTCTGTTTTCAAACAAAATTACACTCTTCGGAAAATATTGAAAATCCTCCAAGAAGACAACCAGATGCTAAGCAAAAAATCATTTAAAATCCTCCATTATAAACGAGTTAGGGTCTATCAAATATACTCCCAAACATTTTATGTTGGTTGTCTTCACAAATACAATATAAACGTAAGGCTTAAAAAAGAAAAGAATGCCTATAATATCGTGCTATAAGTAGATTAGATTTTAATCAGGATTATCCCTTATGAGCTCGTAGTAAGTTTGCATACAGTATGCTGTTCTGTCATAGTCAAATTCATAAGTTCGTAAATACGCCAATGTATTGTATTTCTGAAGTATAATGTATTTATGTATGAATTAATGTATTTGTGAATAACTAATTATTAAAAAACGAAAAGAATGCTTACAATACTGTGCTATAAGTAGGAGACTGTTGTCTTTCATTCTGAAGGGGGAAATCTCAAAAGGATTTAGGTATGCTTTTGGCAATGCATCTAAAACACACGTTTTGTAGTAATCAGGATTATCCCTTACGAGTTCGTAGTATGTTTGCATACAGTGTGCTGTTCTGTCACAGTCAAATTCATAAGCTCGTAAATACGCCAATAAAAATTCCTTATCTAGAGATGGCTTGAATTCTTTATCTAAGAAATAAAAAATTTTGAAGAAATATTAGTGTGTGAGCTACCACCGCGAAAGTGAAGGAATTCATCTATTCTACGGTTTATCTAAGATGATGTGCAGGTTAACTGATGTAATTCATGAAAGTGCCGAAAAATGTTTCATTTCTCGAATTATCTAGTTCATCCGCAAATTCTTTTGATGATCTGTGCAATATTATGCAGGCACTTGTTAATCTACTCATTACTTACTAGCAGGGAGCGATTTCGTCGACTAGAAAGTAGCAAATTGCCAGTTTCAGAAAAACGCAGTAGCTAATATTTTCTGATGATTTGGATTTTTGATCGTTTTTCCGTAACTAGCGTAACTTCCGTAACTTTCAAATTCGGATATTTTTAATACGACGTTATTACGACACGCGAATTTCAAATTAGAGTTATCATTTCTTGACGCTCTCGATTAACGGCGGTTCCATCCTAAATCCTCATTGTTTTTTGATCATTTTTGAGATATTTATTAACCGTTTATTCGACGATCTTCACATAATTTTTCAAACTCCAGTATTTTTAATATAATGCTATTGCGACTCCCGAATTTCGAAAACGATTAATCAACGATTAATCATTAACGAAGAGCATGATTCACGTCTATTCCGTCGTTAATCCACGTGCTTTCTGATCGTTTTCTCGCTAGTTATTTGATCTTTTTTTTCTTCTTTTACAGCATTTTTATATAGTCAATTTTAATTCCGATATTTTTAATGCATTTCGACCGGAATTTCGGATTAGAGAATCGGATTTCGGACCCCGGAATTTCGAATTAGAGTGATCACTTTTTGGCGTGCTTAATTCACGACTATTCCATCAGTAACCCCCTTCATTTTCCAACCATTTTCTCTGCAGATATTTTCTTATCGTTTTTTTCACGCCGTTTTTTGAATAACGATATTTTTAATATAAAGTTATTACGACGCATGTTGGCTAATCACTTTTTGACTATGCTGTTGTAAACGAACGTCAAAATGCATAGAAAACATGGAAAAATTACTGAGTAATGAAAAAAGAAAGAAAAAAATTAATAAAATCCCGAAAATAAAAGATATAATCTTTTCATCAGCTGACATTATATCCACAAAAAGGAGTTCTTTCTAATATTGTATCAATATAGCCAAAGTAAAATACATCAATACAATAGTGTGAGAAGCACTCAAAAAAATTTACAACAAATAAAATAGAACACATTAAGTAAAAATATCACGTAAAAACAGAAAATAAAATATAAATAAAAAGCAGAATAAAACATAAAACTAAATCCATTAAGCGAGTAGCGAATTCAAATGAACTTACATGAACGGAAAATTTTTCAAGAATGATTTAAAATATTTTCGTAATAAGATTGCCACATTACAAAATATGAAAACAGAAGCGCAAATTCAGGTAAAAGCATAAAATAGAGGGGTTTTGTTTTACTGCATTACCAGGGACTAATACCTTTATATCTATGTGCATTACTGAAGTGCGTTTGATTTGTGAGTTACCAGGGATGGGCCCAAAAATGGATGCGCGCAAGGTAATATTATATTGGATAATTCAAAGAATTTGACAGTTAATAATGTTGGGAAAAAAATTATATAAATTAACAAAAGAAATTTTTAGTAAATTTATTTGCAATAATATACAATTAACTCAATGATTTAATATAGAATTTAATTACTTTAGTTGGGTATCCATTGTTCTTCATCAAATTTTGGAAGAGTTTGTATATTTGTTTTTTGGATAAATAAATATTACTACATATTCTTTTAATTCTATTCATCCGATAAAAAATGGTATTTAAATAGATTTTATTACAAACATTAGAATTCTAAGTAAATAGTTCATTCATATTAAAATTAAAATCATTTCTCTTATTATAAATTAAGATGGCAGATATTTTCTTCTTTTATAATACCCAAATATAAAAAATTTTAATTAATATTATCATCATGATTACGAAGCAAGATTAATTCCTCGGGATAAATGTTACTTAATAAAATATTATAATTTTGAAAATTAAAGATAATGAAATTATCAATAAATCTGAAAACAAATTTAATATTGAGAGTATAATTTTTTTCTTAATAAGTTAGCTTAGAAAGATGAAAAATTAGATCCTTGTGGTATTCTATCAATTTGAAGAAAAATGTTTTCTCCATTCTAAAGAAAATTACTAAAGAGACAAAAATTAATTAGAATTTTTTAATAATAAAATTCGTAACTAAAGATATTTTTAAAATCGTAGTAATAATTCAAAAGGACATCTTTTAGTTTAGAAAGGGGAATGCTATTGAAAAGATCCTGGAAATCAAAAGTCGCAATAGAATTCGATATCAGACTTACAATGTACTTTCTCTGGATAAACATACTTTTTTCTTCAACGGATTCGGATTTCTGACCCCCAAAATATAGGGGGTAGCCGCAATCAGAGAAATATGGCTCCCGTAGTTTGATCAGGAGAGCTATCTGGCGTTTGGACCCCTTGATGGTAATTTTTTCTTTTGCGTACTTCGCCTTATCACAAGAACTTTTTAATCAAAATGAAAAAAAATTTCGCACAATTATAAAATTCATTTTTCCAAAGATCTACATTGGGTTCAAAATTGTGAAGCTGGGGAGTTGAACATTAGTCGACGTAATCTCAAAAATTGGGTCGGCTGTTCAACGACGGTTATGAAATATAATAAAATAAAACCTTCCCTGTTAAAAAAAAACTTTTCCTTTCCCATAAACTTCTAAAACAATTTATTATAAGTAGTTTACAAATGCAATTAAACGAAAACCAATACCTTTAAGCATATTTCTAAGCGTTTCCAAACAGACTTTCCTTGAATGTAATCTTCCTATGAATAAAATCTTCCCTGTTAGAAAAAAAAAACTTTTCCTTTCTTTTTTTCCTTTCCCACAAACTTCCAAAACAAATTACAAGTAATTTGCACAAAACAAATTATAAGTATTATAAGTAATTTGCAAATGCAATTAAACGAAAACCAATACCTTTAAGCATGTTTCTAAGCGTTTCCAAACAGACTTTCCTTGAATGTTATCTTCCTATGAATAAAATCTCCTATGAATAAAATCTTCCCTGTTAGAAAAAAAAAACTTTTCCCTTCTTTTTTTCCTTTCCCATAAACTTCTAAAAGAAATTATTATAAGTAATTTACAAATGCAATTAACCGAAAACCAATAACTTTAAGCAGATTTCTAAGCGTTTCCAAACAAACTTTCCTTGAATGTTATCTTCCTATGAATGAAATCTCCTATGAATAAAATCTTCCCTGTTAAAAAAAAAACTTTTCCTTTCTTTTTTTCCTTTCCCATAAACTTCTAAAACAAATTATTATAAGTAATTTACAAATGCAATTAAACGAAAACCAATACCTTTAAGCATATTTCTAAGCGTTTCCATGCAAACTGACTTTCCTTGAATGCTATCTTCCTATGAATAAAATCCCCTATGAATAAAATCTTCCCTGTTAGAAAAAAAACTTTTCCTTTCTTTTTTTCCTTTAACATAAACTTCTAAAACAAATTATTATAAGTAATTTACAAATGCAATTAACCGAAAGCCAATACCTTTAAGCATATTTGTAAGCGTTTACAAACAGACTTTCCTTGAATGTTATTTTCCTATGAATAAAATCTTCCCTGTTAGAAAAAAAAAACTTTTCCTTTCTTTTTTTCCTTTCCCACAAACTTCTAAAACAAATTATTATAAGTAATTTATAAATGCAATTAAACGAAAACCAATACCTTTAAGCATGTTTCTAAGCTTTTCCAAACAAACTTTCCTTGAATGTTATCTTCCTATGAATAAAATCTCTTATGAATAAAATCTTCCCTGTTAAAAAAAACTTTTCCTTTCCTTTTTTCCTTTCCCATAAACTTCTAAAACAAATTATTATAAGTAATTTACAAATGCAATTAAACGAAAACCAATACCTTTAAGCATGTTTCTAAGCGTTTCCAAACAGACTTTCCTTGAATGTTATCTTCCTATGAATAAAATCTTCCCTATTAGAAAAAAAAACTTTTCCTTTCTTTTTTTCCTTTCCCATAAACTTCTAAAACAAATTATTATAAGTAATTTACAAATGCAATTAAGCGAAAACCAATACCTTTAAACATATTTCTAAGCGTTTCCAAACAGACTTTCCTTGAATGTTATCTTCCTATGAATAAAATCTTCCCTGTTTAAAAAAAAACTTTTATTTTCCTATTTTCCTTTCCCATAAACTTCTAAGACAAATTATTATAAGTAATTTACAAATGCAATTAAACGAAAACCAATACCTTTAAGCATGTTTCTAAGCGTTTCCAAACTGATTTTCCTTGAATGTTCAGATTCATTAATAACAGCCATAGCCTTGTCTTCTTCTTCTTTAGGCAACTGTACAGCATCGTATGGTACTAGGTTCATATTCTAAAAAATCTAATTAATTGTTCTCAATAGAAAAGATCAGATTTGTTACTAACTGACAAAGCAGTATCTTAGTAAAATAGATGTACAGTGCTCAAAATAAAAAAAGGATGAGAAACTTAATAACTTTTATACGCTATCATTAGATTTTCAACAAATCTGTTTTAAATCATAACGGTTAGAGGGACTAAGCTTAAGCATGCTGATATGTTTGTGCTGACATTTTTTTAATTTATGAAATAGGCCTTAAAAACGTGAGATCTCTTAATAAACATAACCCTTTTTTCTGCCGGATTTGGATTCATAATTCTCAAAATGTGGAAGTTCAGTAACAGCAAACTGAGAAACATAGTTTATACAGAAACAGGAATATATAGTCTAATAGTTTCGACAGGATAGTAACCGTAAGTTCGGGCATTTTAATGTAATTTTAATTTTTCACACGTAATTACCCTGAGAAAAAAATTACGGTTCAAACTACCAGAATATAGTAAAATTTACCATGTTTCTTACTGTATGGGAAGATCAAAGAGTTCGGTAATTTTTACCGAAGCACTTTAGTAATGATTTTGGTAAATTTATCAATAAAAAATGGTTTTATATTTTTCAATAAAATTTGGTAATTTTATCATGATACTTTAGAGCAATTTAACCAAATTAATGGCATAGAAGCCATTTATTTCTCTAAATTTACTGTTTAGTTTCGTATTTTTTGCTAAACGTGTGGTAATAAAGGCTGTAAGCCGTCCGGATTGTGTAGGGGGCAGGGAACGATCCTTGCATCAGAAAGGTCCTGGGTTCGAATCCCGGGAAAGACATGGATGTTTCTTTCTCTCTGTGTTCTCTGTCCTTTCTCCTTTGTGTGTGAATGTGACCTGCCCATAAACGGGTTGTGGTTGTGTAAATGGCGTGGCAGAAGTCGAATTCTTGGCCATAGAAGGCGCCACTGAAAAACAGGAACAATCACATCCCCACTGCCTAAAAACAGGCATACGACAGAAAACGAAAATAAAACAAAACTATAATTTTTAAAACCAGAATTTCCGGTAAAACCTGTTAACTTATATTTTGAAACATTTCCAAATAAATGGTTTTAATGGTGTATATTTTGGTTTGATTAACAGAATTTTGTTTCTTTTTCCTTCTACCAGAAATGTCACTATCATACAGTAAGGTAGTTTTTCAAATTTTCATTTCTCAAAACTGATTTAACTGATTCGCTTTATATTTTGGATTACGTCTATTAAAAATTACATTAAAAATTATTTAAAAATTAATGCCCTTTTATTTTTAAAAAAAATGGGACCATTATCGAAACGAATACTCGTAAAAAATTTACGTTCTGTTTGAACTATTAGAATCCTATTTTCCAGATTATGTTTCATATCTGGAGGTTAATACTTTTAGAAAAGTGCATGTTTATGCAGAGAAAGTTTGTTTCTGTGATTGATTTTATTTTTAAAATATCGTCTGCGCATTATTTTGGAAAATTCAAGATTCGTACCATAAATTATTAAGATTGTATCTGAATACGTGAAAGCGCCACCATTAGATCAAGCGTTTTTTTTTCCAGTGCCCACCTGGAGAATGACCTCACATCACACAGACATCTGAATGGCAAATTTGTTGGCCACTTTTCTCTTTCAGGGGCACCATATTAGGTGGGGCAATGTTGCTCCCACAATACAGTGTACAAATAGTTCGATGAATGAAAGAACATCCATGCCTTGCCCGGGATTCCAACGCAGAACCTTTCTGATGCAATGCCAACCCCTACACAGGGCGGTCGGCATTGGATCATAAGTAAGTAAGATTATATCTTTTTGATTTCGCTCACTGTTCATTAAAATATTTGCATGCTGTGAACTTTAGATGAGAATATGGGCATAAATTTTAAATTGGATTTTTTTTTTCGTTGAAATTTGGAATGGCTTTCTATTAAAATATTTAAGAAAGAAAATCTAATAAATTCAGAATTTTCTAAGAAAAGTGATTTTGAAACGATCAAGCAATTTAGTAAACAATTTTGTGGCAATATATATTTTTTTTCTTGAATATCATGAAAACTATATTTTTGCTTAATTTGAAAAATGCAATATAGGAGGAAACTGCATTACATTTATGACGCATTATTTAATATATCAGCTGCGTTATAAAGTAAAATGAATTATTAAAGTTGGAAAAGGAGTAGAGTTTGATTTGAAACAGCGGGCCTCTAAGAAATCTGATCCTTGCATTTTAAAATATATGTACTTCGTAAGTTTTTGAAGTAAATGAAGTTTTAATTAACAAATATATCTTATCATTAAATTTTTTTTTGTTGAGATTATTCATTTAATGAGCAGTTCTCAAAATGAAAAACTGAGGACCCTGAATAACTCTTGATCTAATAATCGGATCTTTTTATCTGGGACTTAATCCTAATTATTCAAGGAGATGACTTAAAATATACTAATTAATTAGCGCAGACTATATTTTAAGTTACGAAATCAGACGCAAAAACGTTTTTTCTCTGAATGAAAACACACCTTTTTTTCAACGGATTCTGATGTTTGACCCCCAAAATATAAGGGATAGTTGCAATTTGAGAAATACGGTCCCAATAGTTCGGTCAGGAGAGCGATCCAAAGTTTGGACCTCTTAATGTTAATTTTACTTTTTGCGTATTCCGCCATATATCGAAAATTTTTAAGCTGAATTGACGAATTTATACACAAAATTATAAAATTTGTTTAGCTGCAGATAATTCAATGCAAAAAATGAATTTTAGTGAGTATTTATTAGTTTTTATTTTATTATATGCTGGTCAAAATATTTTGAACCGTAAGGCATACAGTTTTTTATATCATATTAAAAAACCTATTTTCACACGGCAAAATGCAAAATTTTAGCAAAATCGGACGAATAATTCGTCAGACTAAGATTTTATTAATTGCCGTTGATGAATGAGAAACAACTGCCATTTAAATTGCAACAATCCATAATGATAATCTTATAAGAAAAATTCATTTTTCACTCATTCAGCTCGAAAGGTTCGTAGTGGAATGTTCTAATGTCGGCAGTCACTTTCCCTGTGCTTTGAACTATTAAAAAGTTAAAGGCAATACAATAAAATAGCGCGGTATTTATTCTATCCCGTAATGCTTTTCTCGCAATGAGATTAACTTCTAAAGCTGGTCTATCTAAGTGCGTGATTGAAGCATTCATATGATATCTATTGAGCAGCGAGGGCTCAGGGGATAGAGCGTTCACCTTCCAATGCGGCGAACCGGTATCGAATTCCAGTCGATACGAATTCCACATCCCCGACTTGCACCGACCACAGTGCTGACGTGAAATATCCTCAGTGGTAGACGGATCATGGGTAAGAGTCTATTTGCAAATCAGGCTAACCGTGGGACGTTCTCGTGGATTTCCTTTCCATGAAGCGCAAATTCAAGTTAGTTCCCTCTAAAAGTCCTCCAAGAAGGCAAATTTCTCCCAATACTTGATCCAGGAGTTCCCTTGTTTTCTGGATTGGGTTCAAAATTACAAGGCTGCGTAGTTGAACATTAGCCGTCGTAAACCCAAAAATTATCTCGGCTGTTCAGTGACGGTTATAAAATAAAATAAAATATTACATCCGTTAAGATATGTCCCTCAGTGGACTGATTGTATAGACACGGCTCCCAGTTGAACACCGAAGTCAAGCATAACTAGCTGCGGTCGGTAAGCCGGTGGGTGACCACTTTAATCAGTCTTCGTAGGGACCAAGGGTGGACCGTATCGGTCCTCGTTAAACTGTTCTACCGTAAAATGCTCGCCTTCGCTTTCAGGTCGTCGGGGTACCAAAGCAGGGAAGCCATCCCCTCTGCAGAGGACCAAAATTGCGATGGCATGTCTTCGGATTAGCCTCAGGGATATTTACCACCACCAATAGCTCATTGTGCAGCTCTAGTGTGACGTAAATAAAGTACCTACCTACCGTTAAGATATTGAGCCCGTCCTAATTCTATCCCGTTTAGGCCCCATTTACATGCTTTAATTCTGTGGTGTAGTCCATTTGGGTGCCACGTGTACCACCATTAAAAAGATGCAGGTCAGAAGTTTGATCCTGGCTGCTGGCAGCTAGTGTGTGTGGATAAGCACATACACACTAAATTTCTTGTAGTTAAATGCGCTTTTGTTGATACGATGTACAAGTTAATAGGTGTAAAAGTCAGTCTAGGCACTTTCCACGTCGTTCAGTTGAGATTGAAACCACGTGGCGCTCTTAACATTTAATGTTTGGTCGTGACCGTTAAATGTTGTGCCTGGAAAAGCAGGGTGACGTACTTAACTGTAATCCGAAATAATTATAAGAAGGTGTGTGCTAATGCCGCTTCCTTAGAGACTATCTTCACACTTGTAGTTCGTTAAATACTTTGATAGAGCTCTCTATTTCTTCTTTTACCAGGTGCTAAAGTTTGATAAAATATTCTTAGTAGATTGGAAAATTGGAAATTTCTAACTGTTATCAGCAAATCTTTTGCACATTCCTCTAACTATGATGCATGAGACACTGGGTATTAGTGAACAGAAACGTGACTTAATCATTATAGATATTTGACTGACGCGTTCTTCATACCGTTGCAATGGCATTTAAGAAAAAATGCATGTTTTAGGGATTAACGTTTAAATTAAATGTTTGAAAGTTTTAATTTTAATGTAGCAATCGAAATAGTGAGAGATATGTAATCCGGATGAAACTAAAATCAACTCAGTGACGGTTTTGGATGTTTATTATAAACATTTGAATATCCTTTTTTTTGTTGCTTTTTTATATATTTCTGTAACTAAATACCGTAATGTGTAAATTAAATGTTACTTTTCTCCCGCATAGCACAAAATGCTTCAAGAACAATATTTTAAAACTTTAGATAACGGAGTTAAATGATGAAAAAATATATAATGCAAGTGCGGCATAAAATTCCTTATTCACGTCTGGAAATATCTTATTTTTTGATGAAAAGAAATGAATTATTAAACTTGCTTTTTGATCTGATTTCGAGATACTTTAGAGTATTCAATGCAGATGAAAAAACGCTATTGTAAAAATACTTCCTTAGACGGTTCGGAAATAATGGCCCAGAATTCTCTTAGACATTTTTTACTGTATCTAACCAACATTCTGGTTTAAAAGTACGGTTTATTTAAACCATTTACAAATGGCATATTATTAGCACTGAAATCTATTGACATGAGAAAAAGTTCTTTGAACGATTGGTCAGTGTCTCAAATAGAATCGTCTGTGTTTTAATTGGTTTTGCTATCGCCTTCTTCACCTAAAATATCGTTCTATTATTTATTATTTACATTCGCAATTGTGCTTATAAAAATGAAAATAATATTTTAATAAAATATACTGTTATGTTATTGTTTTAAATAATTATTTTTGTTTAATTCAGAAATAAAAAAATAACTTTCTGATATCTATCTATATTGCACAATCTATTGAAGTAATGCATTTTTTAAAGAAATTTTTATACAACTAAACTTTTTTGGAGTTATTTTCTAATTCCTAATTTAAAACTTATATTTCGATCAAAAAAAACTTAACAATCAATTTTTTATTTTACAAATTTTTTCAAACAGAGTTTCCAAATAGATTTTTTTCACAGAAAATCTAAGTGTCGAGTTTTTAAACACGAGTACTTAAACATTAATAATAAACATTAATGTAATAACACGATTACTATATTGAAAATTAATTATTAAATGTAGAAAAAGACATCCATAAATTCTAATGTTCACAAAACTTAAGCTTGAGCAATGACAATTATGTGACACGCTGAATGCTAGAAGTACTATTCTGAATTATCATATAATATCACATAAAATGTTGCTACTGAACTAAGTTTTGTTCAAATAATATTACATGCCAAAATATTTGATTGTAATATCAATCACTCATTGGATGCGTTGGGCACTAATGCAGTTGTTGTTATTGTTGTTGTCGTCTGCCATGTAGGCAAAGGGGGTGCGATTGTCCTTGTTTTGCAGTGGCGCCATCTATGTTCAAGTATTTTACTTCTACCACACCCTTACGTCACTCTCGTTTTATAGGGCCCATTCATTCATCCACAGATCGTAATTTTGACCTGAACTAGAAGACGATCAATCTGCAATTCAATACCCCAGGGGTATTGATTTGTTATGGGAATATGGAGGACTTGTGACCCGACAGACTTAACGTGCACCAGTCACCATTTACTACTGTCTTCGAGCTCCAGTTCTCACAAACTTGAGTCCAGCGCCCTGCCAACCAGGGTATCCCGGCCACCAATGCAGTTTAACTTCGTTTATAAACATAGGTATTTCTTTCTCCACCAGCGTAAATCATAAATAAATATCGTGAAACCTAAAATATAGCTCTAAATTATTATATAACATTCGTGAATTAAATAAAGTTAAAACAAAAATATAGTTCATTTTAAATCCGTCTGTAATGCGGTGGCGGGGAAAGAACTTCCTAAAGTTTGAGCTTGTCACTAAGTTTAACGTTCATTATTATGCCTATGCATGTACGTTTAACAATCATTCAGAAAAATGTAACTTGTATAATCAAGTATTTATACGCATATAATTAAAATGCCTAAAGCATGCCCATAGTTGAAATTATTTTAAGTATTATGTAAGCTATCATATCAATATTGAATACCAGGGGTAGTTGAGCTCCTTGCCTTTCGGTTTTGTTTTTAAGTGATTAGTGCGTTAGGTAAGTTTGTCAGTAGTTCTGTCATGGGCTCAGCAGGGAAGAAACAATTTACAAAGTAATCAATGAAGTGCTTCTTCTTCTTTATTGAGGCTTTATGATTTGGCAAACTCTTCGATTGCGTTTAAGTGACTATATTTGATATGGAAAAAAAATTTCTTCCAAAAGGGTTTATTGATGGCCAAATCAAAGCCCAGATAAAATTTTCTACTAGATTGGCATTGCACAATATTGAGCGTTAAAAACTATTTGGTCTGATGTCGTCTGGATAAATATTTATTACTAGATTTATATCTTAAAACGTGGCAATAAGTGTTCGCAAATCTTAATATTTTTAATTGTCTATTTATAATATGATACATCTTCTTTATTAAGATTTATTCATTAATAAATCCAAGAAGACATTTGAAATTTTAAGTCGGTACTGAATTATTTTGAAATTGAGTATTGAAAATTGGTTACTTTCATGAGACACGTCTAAGATTTTTTTCTACAAATTCAAATGAAAATTTGATAATACGTAATTGCAATATTTCGATTTCTTTTAAGTGGAAATCAGTTATAGGATTCAGATTTTCTTTAACTTTTCAAAAATACTTTTTTTTATTTGATGAGTATGATAATCGCGTCTATAAATTTCAGATTGAAGCAAATAATACGTTTTGTAAAGCCGATTCAATTATTATTTTCCGCAGTCTGGTTGATTGATTGACTAATAAGCAATAAACTTATTTGTATACTTATTACACTTCTATAAATAAGTTCATTTACTGTACGATTGTAAAACGTTTATAATTATTCCTATACATGTACTTTTAACAACCATATAGAAAAATGCAACTTATATAATCACACATATAATTAAAATGCCTACAGCATAACCATAATTTAAAAAAAACTTAAGTATTATGTAAGCTATCAGTTTAAAGTTAACTAATTGTCAATTTAAAATTGATAACACTCAAAACAATCTTTTTTTCACAACTTACAAGAAAAGGGAGTTATTTTCGCAATAAACTTACATCATTACCTTTTCGTATAAAGTGTGATAAAAATAGTATTATTTTCTCCTTATCAAATCATTTGAAAAACGTTTTTTTTTATTTTTTTTAAAGATTTTTCTTTTTGTTGTTTAATTTTCATTACAACCTAATATTCAAAAAGTTTCAGTGAGAGAACTTGTTTTGTAATTACCTTCCAGTTGATGTTCCTAAATTAAATTCTCTAAAATGGCCCTCAGAACCTTCCTTCACTAAACTCTTTAAAAGAGCGATGCATATTTGGAAATTTATTTAAAATATTTCCTAAAAATTCTCACATCTCATATCACAGAACCATCCTTCATTAAACTCTTTCAAAGAGCGATGCATATTTGGAAATTTATTTAAAATATTTCCTAAGAATTCTCACATTTGTCTCACATCTCAGATCACAGAACCTTCCTTCACTAAACTCTTTAAAAGAGCTATGCATATTTGGAAATTTATTTAAAATATTTCCTACAAATTTGCACATGTATCTCACATCACAGAAGCTTCCTTCACTAAACTCTTTAACAAAGCGATGCATGTATGGAAATTTATTTCAAATATTTCCTAAAAATTCTTACAGTCATTAAAATGGGAAACTACAATTTAAAATATATAATTATTTAAATTTAGATCATTAAGGAAATGACTACTGGTTAAAAAAGCCTTACATTTTCCATTATTTTACTATGAGCTGTTGATATAAGTATGTAATATACAGTCAAACCCCGCTATAGTGAACACGGCTTATAGTGAACTCCCGGATATAGTGAACGAAATGCTCGGTCCCGTGCCTTGCTATACACGTATAATGTTATTTTTAGTGGATATAGTGAACCAAAAAAGTGAGGAAGTTGGATATAATGAACTTTTTTCCGTCTTCGACTGATTTCCCTCCCCATTTTCTTAGTAATAATTTTGAAATTTGTATTTCAAAATAAATACATATACCGATTTTTAAAACCATCTATAGAAACTACTTTTATGTGCTCGAATGGCAGGTTAGACAGGTTTAAAAAGCGGAATCACAGAAATTCAGGAAAAATTATCTGAGAGTCGGGAAGTGTTTCCATACCTGATGTTGAGGGTTGCTCATCAGCTAAAGATTACTAATTTTTATTTGTACGCAAGACAAAGAGTGATGAAAAATAACAAATTTTTTGCTACTGCATAATATTTTTCAGTCATTTATATGAATATAATGTAATAAAAGGGAGGAGTTTGGGAACCATTAGTGAAATTGCATGCGTAACGGACATAGTGAACTCCCGGATATAGTGAACCAAAATTTCGGTCCCTTGAAGGTTCACTATAGCGGGGTTTGACTGTATTTTTATTTGTTTAAAAAAGGAGTAATGTTAAGTTTCAGTATTTTTATAAAAGAAACGTCCAATAAGTAATTATTTTCCTTCTTCAATTTATTTAGACGAAGAAAATTACATTTAAAGGCCTCTACCATTAGCGAAATCAGTATTTACTAATTCTTAAAAAGATTTTTCCTGCTAAATTTACTCATTATGGAAAGTTCCTTGTAGTAGACTTTGTAACGAGGTTTACATAATTCTTAAAAAAAGTAGAAATAACTTCATGCAGAAAAAGATATTTTGAAACAATATTCAATTGAATATTATCAGATTGCGTAAAATAAAAATGCTGAATAAATAATAACTTACCATTTTGTGGAAAATTATACTATTTTGAAAGAACAAAAAGCATAAATTTATATCGAAACAGGTAAGTGCTTGTTTTATTATATGCTATAGTTTCTATTTTCAATATTTAAAGAATGTTCTTCATGTAATGATTTTCTCTTGGATAATTTATGTGGAAGAAATAAATACTTTAAAAAGAGTTTATAATAGCACTTTACTAACTTACAGTTCATCAGTAAAATGTCAGCATTAAGAAAAGGAAAGAGACATTACATTTTCCTTCCATGAAAATGTTTATAATTGAAAACATGTTATTTGTTTAGTATTAGCATTGAATCATTGTGAATCTTTCGGTTGATTAATAGATAATATAATATATGTAGAAAAGAAGCTTAAAATAACTTGTTCGCTGATTTTAAAAAACTCGTAAAACGTATACATATTTATTTTGGTGTTACATATCAAAATATTGTGACGTTTCAAATTTTGTAGATTACATTTTCCCTCCATGAAAATGTTTATAATTGAAAACATGTTACTTGTTTAGTATTAGCATTGAATCATTGTGAATCTTTCTGTTGATTAATAGATAATATAATATATGTAGAAAAGAAGCTTAAAATAACTTGTTCGCTTATTTTAAAAAACTCGTAAAGCGTATAAATATTTATTTTGTTGGTGTTACATATCAAAATATTGTGACGTTTCAAATTTTGAACATTACATTTTCCTTCCATTAAAATGTTTATAATTAAAAGCATGTTATTTGTTTAGTATTAGCATTGAATCATTGTGAATCTTTCGGTTGATTAATAGATAATATAATGTATGTAGAAAAGAAGCTTAAAATAACTGGTTCGCTTATTTTAAAAAACTCGTAAAACGTATAAATATTTATTTTGTTGGTGTTACATATCAAAATATTGTGACGTTTCAAATTTTGTATAAAGTTCACAGTCCTCAAAAATACAATGATTAAAATAAACAACAGGAGGACACAATTAAAATATTTTTCAATTTTTCATAAATAAATGACTTATCTTATACAAACTTTTAATCTGTTGGATAATTTAAGATCAAAAAATATTTTAAATGCATTTTTTGATTTTTCTAATGTGTAATAAATATTCTGCACTATTAAAAAAATTCCGGATCAAATTACGTTAAGAAGTACAGGAGAGTGCTGGTACTTAATATAGTAAAATATATGTTTACCAGAACAGAGAATTGTATTTATTTGGGTTTTTTAACAGAAATAATTATAGTTAAATCACTGAATCACTCTAATTAAATTGATATGACTGTAAAAATTACGATATTATATTTTAAGGTAAAAATGAATTTACGGTTGATGCACCCAAAGTGTGCTGTCATACAAAGTTAACTGGCACACAAAAAGATGCGCCATCTTTGCGAACAAGGTGTGCCATCTGTGGTGTAGTGTAACCAAACTTAAGACAGATAAATTTGTATGGTATTGTGATTATAGCAAATTTGCAAGACATTAGGGCTCAAACTTTTTTACAGAGTATGCTTACAATGCTCATAAACTTGTAACCTATTATGTCATTACTCTTCTCTTCAGGGTGCTTTTCCATATCGCATAAAAAATATTCATGCGATCAACGTCTCAGAGGCCTTCAAAGTTTTATTCAACATCAGTTATCCTTTCATGACGAAAAAAATGAGAAATCGGGTAAGAAACTTATGGTGATATTATAATTGCTGCTTTTGCATACGTTAAGTTCTGCACTCAATAAACACTCAATTTTTTAAAGCAAAACAAGATGAATAAAACACAAACAAAGGCACAAAAATGGACATACTATAGTTTATTTTAGTACTCAAAAACTTAAGAAGAATTTTTTTAGACACTGAAGAAAGTTCTTGTTGATAAAACTGAAACTAAAGTACTTTTATTTTTGTGCCTTTATTTGTGCTTCATTTTTTTTTTCATAATTAGCACAAAATATAACCTATCCTAATATGGATTTATCTTTTATTTCGTTCACGCACTCTTGAGAAGCACTAAATATTTTTGTTCCTCTAATGAACTTGAAATATTTCGAAACATAATAACATTTACAAAGAAACTTTAAAATGATTATAAATATAAAGGGAACTATTTTTATTAGAATAGTTTGTTAAACCGAGGATCAAAAAGTTAAATCATTGAAAATAAAATGATCAAAAATGAAATTCGGATTAAATTGATTATATTTACAAAAGAAATGCAAATTATTTTTAATAAATAATTTTACACTTCTTATTGATCCAAAATTTTTCTGGTAAAAAACGAAAGATAAAAAACTTAAAATAATTTTTTTTACACCTTCCTTCATTTAATTTTTAATTTTTTATGCAAAAATACAAATTTCTAAATTTATTAGAGTATTAAAGGCAAGTTCAAAATGAAGGCCAATTAGTTCAATTACACTATTTGTCAAATATTATGTATTATGTGTGTATTTATTAATATTTCTATCTTTTATTAATTATTCACAATCTATAAGAATTCTTTGCATATAGGAATATGGTACATATTGTACCAGAATTTTTTGTGTGAAATTTCAATCATCTAGTGGTTCATTCATTTATATCACATCAATCTGACTAAGGTTCACTTAATCGCATCACATCAAACTGTTATTGTTGCATACAATTGCATGATAACTGTTATTGTTGCCTACATGTCTTTCAATGGTATGTACAGTGTGAAAATAATAAACGAAACTTCCGGAATAACTTTTGAGATAATGATTTGATTTTCACGTACTAGGACTCGATCTAAATGTTTTAAAGGGGTGACCTCAAATAGGCTACTTAGTTATTGCAGACGATAATTTAAGTTACGAAATAAGACACAAAAACATATTTTCTCTGAATAAACATACATCTTTTTCTATGGTTTATGTTTTTTGAACCTAAAAATCAACTAAGTCTGGGAAATATGATTCAATAGTTTTTCCAGAGAACAGCCTCGGTCCCCTTAATATTAATTTTACTTTTTGCGTATTTCACCATATCTAGAGAATTTTTAAGCAAATTGAAAAACTTTTGCACTCATTTATAAAATTCGTTTGTCCAAAGATAATATTCTGCAAAAAATAATTCTTACAATGATTATTTATTATTTTTTTTCCAAAGATAATTCCATGCGAAACCTTACTTTAAGTAAATAATTATTATTTTTTATTATTTTATTTAATATTTGCCGAAAAATTTTGAATTGTAAGGTATGAAATTTCTTGCCTCATTTTAAGGAACGTGACAAAATTCAAAATTTGTGCAAAATCAATCAAATAGTTCCCAAGAAATCGATTTTTTAATATCTGACTTTTTTGAAATTCAATTTCTCTGGAAATATTTGTCAGATTTTGCTCAAATTTTGCATTTCGCCGTGTAAAATTATATTCGTTAAAATAATCAAAAAAATTGTGCACCTTATTGAATAAAACAATAAATATTTACTAAAATTTATTTTTTGCATGGAATTATCTTTGTATAAGAGAATTTTATAATTGTGAGCAAACAATTTTCAATTCGCTTAAAAAGTTCTCGAAATATGAAAGTTAACATTAAGGGGTCTACACTTTGGAGCGCTTTCCTTACCAAACTATTGGGACCATATTTCCCATATTACGTCTAACCCTGATTTTAGGGATTGGAAATCCGAATCCGTCGAAAAAATGTATGTTTATTCAGAGATAGTACCTTTTTGTGTCTGATTTCGTAACTTAAAATATTGTCTGTACTTTTTAAGTAGCATATCTCACTCCCTCGACCCATCAATATTGAGTCCTAGAGCGTTAAGATTCGATCATTAGATTAAAAGTTATTCAGGGTGTTCCATTCTTTTTCTTTTTTTATCTCTTTTTGCACACTGTATATCTCTAACATCAAGGAAATGAGTGTCTTCATAAGGCATTCACCACAATACTTCCCCTACAGTGAGCGGAATGAATTTTGAGTACTTTTTCTGTGTGTTGTGCTTTTTTTATACTACCAGAGCATTATAGTGAAGTTCAGTGACTTGATATTGAAGTTAAGTTACGATTGTGTTATGCTCCCTGTCAACTGAACCGTGAAATGTGACTTAATTAGTAATATTGTTTTTCTTAATGTGTTATCGGTGCCATCTAGCGTAAGAGATGGAAAATGCAAGATAGGATTTTTTTTATGGTGAACATAGTTGTAGTGTTGCCATCTATATGTGCACGATGGAATTGCGTGTTGCAATAGACCAGGGTCATCAATTGAGATGTTCAGGCGAAAAGAAATTCCTAATGTGTACGTTCATTGGAGGGAGTGAACGCCTTATGATTAACTTCTCGAAGATGGGTAGATGCTTTAGATGAAAGGACTAGTGTGTTAATCTCATTCCTGGCTGAACGAAGACTCTACTCCCACCATGGACACCACAATATTTCCACCATTTTTTAGAATATAGCATTTAATAACAGCATTTAAATTGTATTTTTTTTATATTTATTTATTTTTATAATTAATATATAAAATATTTTTTAATTTATAATTATTTTTATAATAATTATAATTAAAACTATCTACTTTTTCTAACTTAAAAAAGATATCACCATGACTTTATAAAAACTTTAACTTTTTTAGTTTCACCTTCATACGGACAGCGTACAATTTAAAGATCTCCAGGCTTTTGTACCACCTGAAGTTCTTCCCGAGGAATATGGGGACTGTCTGAGGCACTCATATTTCATCAATCCAATGGAAAACATTTACGATAACGAAGAATATTTTAGAAAATATGCACCATATTTTTTTTCAAAGCACAAAAATTAAGCAATAAAAATGCATAGTTTGTAATCGATTTTATATATTAGTTAAAGGAATTTAGAATTGGTCTCTTTCACGTCAAATATGCAATTTGATGCATAAATTATTAAACTATCCAGATCTGTCAACCTCAGAAATTAAAAAAAGGACCAGTAGGGTATTAATTTTAAAGACCAGGGTATAGCATAATAAGCAAAACTGTAACAGATATTTTAAAAAATAAATCAATGCATTCTTTTAAATCAAATTTATCTAGGCAACTTTTTGCTCCTAAAAATTACAAAGTAATAAACTAATATACAGTGTTATAAAACAGTCTTGAATAACTGATTTTGCCTTTTGTAAAAACTCTTTCTGGTTTGTCTTTTCAGTTAATAAATATTCTGAAATTCGTTTTCAATAGGAAAAATTTAACTAACTTCGGAATTTTGTTATATTGTTGAATATTCTTACACAGGTCATATCACAGTAAGGAATTGTTAATATCATTTTCTGGCTAACAAACTGTAAATATTTCTATTCCTCCTTCTCCTACTGACTTCTCACCATTTTGTGTCGAACCCATCAATAGAATCAAGAATTCTAAAATGTCTTCGCATTGCAAAGCACAATATTGAGTTTCTAGATTATTAAGATATAAGCTTTGTCATCTTTTCTTAAAAAAGAAAAACTAACAAGAAACTGGATATTAAAGAAAAAAAACGCTGATTGTTGAAACGAAGCATTTGTTTACGTTAGCAATTGTTCTTTCCATTCCATTTCGAGTGAGCCAAGTCCGTCAAGTATCAGTTCTCTTAATTGACCCATTCTATATTTTTACGAAAATATTTTAATTATTTCACTATATCTTTCTCACTTAACACAAAGACAAGCATGAAGCCATGTATAACATAAACAAATTGTGCATCGAAGTTGCCAGGTGCACAAAACAAAAATATATCATTGTTACAATTAAATACATAAACAAGTAATAAATCCAAGTTAAATAAAAGACGTAGACGAGAAAGTTATATTTTAACAAATTGACGACGTAGAAAATTATATTTTAACAAATTTGATGTGTGATACGACACTGTATTTAGCTTCATGTTAATTAACATTCTAACTTATGTGGAGAAACATAACTCAACTTTAACTCGCCATTTTGCTTATAAACGATCAGCTGACGATGACATCATAGGTCACATGTGTAGGTATCCGTAATCTTCTTTTTATTGAAGTTCAAGGACCCAATTGAAGTATTACTCAAATTTCATTATCAGCTATTTTAGTATGTATTAAGATATTTCAATTTCAAAAGGTAAAATATCCGAACGCACTTTTTTAAAAATAGTGTTATGCTTTTTTTATTTTCTGATTTTTAAAAAAAAAGTTCTAAAAAGGAATTAACACTAAGCCAAACACGCTCAATCAACAAAATTGCTGATCTGGCAGAAAAAGTTTCGGGGTTTGTATGCAAAATGTGCTTGGGTCTGCCGATTCATACGATTATAAAGAAAAAAAAAGCCTGAGAAACTTCTTTGTTGGCCAGAGTTCTTGAAAATGAACACGAAATCCAAACAGTTTAGGCCTAACTCCTGAGAGTAGGCAGATCTGGCCCATGGCGTACTAATATGAGAGTAACTATCGTAGTAGACCCTGTTCTGGCCCATCCAAACTAAGTTGAACAAAATTTTAGAATTAAAACCAAAATAAGTAGTAGAAAGGATAATAAGTAAATTGATCACATCTTTAGATCGGGACAACTTTCGATCATAAAATTTTATGTCAGAAAACTTTGTTTAAGAACTGATTAATCAATGTTAATACAGTGTGAAATGCTTAGATTTTTTAAGTGAAAAATATTTCAACTTAAATAAAATGTGATATTTTAAGAACTTCATATTTTTTGTTTGTCTATTTTCTTGATTAAATCAAAAACTTTTCAGATGAGTGTGTTTTATATTTATTAGCATTTTTCATTTCGTTTTTTAAGCAAACTTCTTAAAACAATGATATCCAAACAGAGAGGCAAATTTAGGAAGAAAAAATTTTTTTAACTGACCTTTGTAGTAAACTCTAGTAAATTTCGCCTAAAATATAAGATTTTGACTGCTTTTCTGCGACATTATATTTCATCACAAATACAAAAACATCTCAGATCTAAAATTTATGGAACCATTTTACAAAACTCTTATAAAGAATATTGATGCACAAAACATATAAGTTTTGTAATGCAAATTTATGAAAAATTCTAAATTGTCTTTTGCAACGTTAACCTTAATCTATTGTTTCTACTTAAAGTTTGAGATTTTAACTGCCTTTCTTACATTAAGTTGCATCTCAACTCTATAATGTATAGAACCATTTTAAAAAATGACTTTTGTATAGAATAATGTTATTTCTTATAGAGATAGAACTTACTCTAAATTGCGTGTAACAAATTTTAGACGTTGATTTTCGTAAAAAAATATTAATATTCTATGCAAATTTGGGTAATAATCTCTTAAATGTCTCGTTTGAAGTCAAATTTTTTGCCACTCCTCCTTTTGAAACTTAAAATTCCGACAATCATTTTCAAACAAATTTGCATTTTAACTCCAAACTGCTGGCTACCACACTAAAAAACGACTTATGTTGAAAAAATTGCTGTTTAAATAATTTGATTTCCTCAATCCAAATTTGCGACATCAATTTTTTCAAATTTTATTCACATCGTTGAAGTTTAATCACATTTTCACTTAAAATTTTAAATTCTGAACTTCATTACAAAGTTACAAATTTATCAGAGAACACTTAAATACAATAGTTTTTAATAACATATTATTGAAAAAAATGGTTTATAAGATTTAAATGGTAAATTATCCAAACGATAATAAAATTCTAACTCAGGTGCTAATCACGTGTTTTTTTAATAATTGAAGCAAGATTGAAACATTACATCTATTTATACCAAAACTTGAGTAATCAAGCAAAATCATCAGCTCTTTTCCCCACAGTGATCTGACAACTATTTACAAACATGAACAAATCATTTTTTTACAAACCTGAAGATAATGTGTGCATTACGTTTTCCAACTAGTTGTTAACAATATGCAATAGGTAATAAAGGTTTGACTCATTGGATTTTATTTACAATATACTCGTGTCTACCCTCTCTCACCACCCCTCATGAATACTTCGAATCATTTTTGCTCTCAATTAAAACAATTTGTTCTTTTCAAATATTAAACTTATTCAATCTAATGTTGCCAAATATTTCTACTGAATAAACTCTTTCTAAAAATTCCAGTGCTTTTATTCTATTAGGATTACTTTATGAATTCTAATTCCCTTTGATCGTTTATCTTTTTTATACTTAGATAAAATCTATACTTTTTGCAGTTATAGATACAGTTTAGTTAATTAATGATTTTAAATGTTCTAAAATATAACGTTGAATACAGAAAGTAACAACAATTTCACTCAAAGGTCAATAATTTTAATATAATTTACATAAATGTAATTTTCTTTAAATTTTGTAGACATTGGAGAACAGACTAATATACTAAAATAAAATTTTAAAAAAAGCGTTCGTCTGCTAGTCTAAACACGTCGTATGGAAATTTAGAAATCTTTTCAGTAAATAACAGACCAAGTACAACTAATAAGAATTCGTAATATTTTATTAAACAATTGCTCTAAACCTTTACAACAGACATTCTACGATAATATCCACATTTATTATATTTAATTTTTTTTATTCATATTTATTTATTTTTATATATTTTTATTTATATTATATTCTTACAATTATATTTAAATTATCTATGTATTAGAATGCATTTTTGGGACTAAAAAATAATTTTTTCACTAATAATCATATCTTTTTTATTATGGATATTTTTACTACAATTATTTTATCCTTGTTTCAATTTGTTAAAAACATTTTTAAAAATATTTCAATTTTTAAAAAATGCAAATAAAAAATATTAAAATGTCTTTTGTGTGGTGCTGCTATTGCTTTCATTACCTTACTTTAACTATAAACATGGAAATAATTCATCTTGGTTTATAAAGCAAAATTTAGCTTACAGATTCTAACATTATTCTCTTTAAGCAAATGAAAAAAAATTTTATCATAGTTTGACTTTCAGATAAAGCTTTTTTTAGTATTTGCATAAAGATTCTGATAAAGCGTTTTGGATATGAATATTTTGATAAGAATGTTCTAAGCTAATAATTGATAGACAACATTGAAAGTGAAACAGGTAAACCATAAAATGGAGGGAAAAAACAGTTAATGGTTTGAATTGTTCGGATATTTGATTAAATCTACTTTTGAAATATAATTATTGTTATTTAGAAGTTAAGACCAGATCATTCATCCTTTATTTCAATTTGAGAATAAATTCCGGTAAGTAAATTATAAATTAAATAGTTTTCTGACAATTGAGTTTATAGTATTATTATTATTATTATACTAATAATACGTTTGGTTAAAAATATTAAAATCTAATTTTTGAAAATACTTAACTCTTTTTAACTTACAAATGGTCAAAATTTGAGAAAAATTGTAGTTTGAAGGTAGTAAAACATACAAAAAACGTGATTTTGCGTGAAAGACAAGTTCTGAATCATGGAAATTAGAAAAATTAGAATGTATCGAAAATTCTTAAAAATGGAAAACGAATTAAATTTCAAATCCCTGAGCTTTGATACCGTATTTTACTCATTCAAAGTATATAATACTGTAAATAATAATTTGATTTTCTTTCTTTTTAAAAAAAGGACAAAAGACAGTTTTATTCGTAGAGGGTGTAAAATACTTATTTAAGCGCTTATAAATAGTAAATAGTTACGAAAACAGCGAAATTACTTTTCTAGCGTTAGCAATGAAGAGCTTATACAAATTGAGCAGCATTGTAAAAAATTCTGGATTAAATTACAGTATAAAGTACCATCACTTTCTGTGCATCGTCCATAAAATCCATTTTACTGTAAAATCCATTTTCACCATAAAATATTGCACTGTAACTTTTACGGTGATATTTATTTATTTAGAGTGATTCAGGGATTTTGCGGTAATTATTACTGTAAAAATCACGGTATGTGCGATTTTTTGTTCCGGTAATAATTGATCCCATGGTGAAAAGTACCGCCACTTTGAGTGCCGGTACTTTTTACCGGAATTTGATCCTAAATTTTTTGCAGTGTATATAAGTTGTACAGAAATTTAAAAAAACGAGCTGTTCTTATTGATAAACAAATTGTGCAATATTTTTGTTTTAACTATTTCCAATTTATGAAGATCACACAACAATTTAAGGCTAAATTTAAATTGTGGTTAATAATATGGGTTAGCGAGTTGAGATTGGGGTATTGTAGTAGTAGCATTACACAGCATGCATGAATAATTATTGTTAAAATCAGAAAAAATTAATTCATTTTTCGAGTGGAATCAGAAAACAGTATATTTATTTTGATACTTTAGATTTAGAATATATAATACAGCCAAGAGTACATTCGTCACTGTTAGCATTAAGTTTTCAAAGGTAATTCAACACGGGAATATTATCGTATATCGTCCTGACAAAACTTCTGTTCAAATTAGATAAATATTTCTGAAAATAGATAGGAATTTTTTTAATAAATATTTTGATATTAATCATTCCTTTTTACCCCCATATCCCGTTACGGACAAAATTATGAATTCATTTTCAACAGGAATTCTAAAAACATTCAGTAGTATTCAAGAAAAATATTCAATAATTCAAAAATATAATTAATTTCAATTTACGTACTTTAACTTTTTATAAATAATATACTTTGTCATAAATTTTCTCTCGAAAAATTTAATATTCAATTTCATTAAATCTTAATGTATGCATTGAATTAAAAACATATTGTTGTATTTAATGTAAAATGTATATTGCTTCATTAAGAAAAAAGATACATGATTGTTTAATACTTTCAAAAAACTTTAGTTTGACTCATTACAAAATTCTAACTTAGCGTAATGAACTTTCGAAATAGAATAGAATTTAGAACGTTTGCTGAACATTTTAACGTCAATTAAACTTGACGCCTGTGACCAGTCCAGAAAAATACAGCTGGTTTTTTCAGATAGGGTACACGTGAAAAAAAACTTACTTTCACAGAGAATATAAGTTGATCGAAAAAAAATTGAGAGCCACTAATCAAAGTGATCAAATACTCGTTTTTGAAACAGAATCTCTGGGTTTAACTTCCATAAGATGGCTGTGTGCACTGATTAATTAAATGTTCAGGTGTTTAGTCGTTCGTTTTATTTATACTATATTTTCTACGTTAAATACATGGTAAATAATAAATGCATATTAAAATGCAAGTATATTTTATCGTAAATTTCCAGTTTTTTTATTTTTATTTTATACATTATAGCAAACTTTCAATTGGGAAAAAAATTTCGTTTCATATAATCCCTAACTGGAAAAATATAGTGCTACAAAATAAAACAGGACCCTTTTTTTCTAGTCAAGATTAATGAATCAAAAGAGACTTAAAGCAAAACTAGCTCAATTTATAAAACGATTTTAATTTGCATGAAAACTGAAACGTTTTTTTTTTTCCAAAATGAAAACGATCATAAAACTTGATTATATCCAAAATTATTTACTCGACTTCCCATGCTTGGATATTTTTCTTCCAATTTTTTTTTTTTTTTTTTTTTTTTTTTTTTTTTTTTTTTTTTTTTTTTTTT